AGTCTAAGGTTTAAATTGCTTCTTTTGCTGAAAATGTGATTCTACTTCAATTCTACCCAAGTTGCTGACTAGATTAAATGAGTAATCTAGCATTGGTGGAACAATAAATGCTCCAGCAGATGCCTTTTATTTGCTTTACCTGTCAAATAACCTGAATAGACTGTGGCAGTAAAATATTGACACTTGGGCACAATTTGATATTCCTTCTAGTATTTGTAGATTATTCTCTTTACCTTAAAGTATACCTGTAGTTTTACCAACACTAAGTGGGTCATTCACTAAGCTGCCGAAGGCAGCAGAGGGAATAACCGAGCCGAAGTGAAGTGAGCCGAACGCCGTTCGGCTATTCACTCCGGCCCTGTACGGCTAAATTCAGCCGTACATCAGCTACAATCACCCGTATGTTGGCTGGCTTAGGTTAGCCGAACAGGCTTAGCTGTTCGGCTGAGCCCGAAGTGAAGAAGCCGTTCGACTTAGCCGATCGAACCTCCGGCAGTTCACTTGCTGCCGTTTGCCCCTATTCTCATAGGGGCCGAATGGCAGTGACTGAATAGCCGAATGCCGCTCAGTTATTCTGCTCGGTACCTTTGAGGTAGTAAACAAAATTAAAAAATGTAAACGAAAGAAAAAAAAATGCTAAGAAACGATTACATTTAAAAAAAAAATAATTAAAGAAAGAAAAAAAGAAACATTGTGGGGTCCCCCTCTCAAACCATACCGGACCCATACCCTTCAGGGCCAGTAGTAAAATTTGAAATTTTAAAACAAAATATATGTGGGGTCCCCCCCCCAAAGTCATACCAGGTCGTTTAGGGGGGAAACAAATGGGTTTAGGGTCCCCCCTAAAATTTTTTACCAGACCCTTAATCCATGCACAGACCTGCCAGGGCAGGAAAGGGGGGGAGTGAGTGCTCCCCGTGTCATACCAGGCCACATGCCCTCGGCACTGGGAGGGTGCTTTTCCAGAGTCCCCCTCTCAATCCCTGGGGTGTTGGTTGTGTGGGTCTGCGGGCAGGGGGGCTTATTTGCATCAGGGTACCCCCTTTAAGAAAGGGGGCACCCAGATGCTGCCCCCCCTTGTGAATGAGTAAGGGGTACTTGTACCCCTACTCATTCACTAAAGGGTTCAATAAAAATGTAAAAAAAAACCACACTTTTGAAAAAGTCCTTTTAATTGAAAAAAAAAAATGGAAAAAATTGTTCCAATGAAGTAAGCCACGTCAATCACGGTGTCCAGTGTTGTCAACACTGCCGTCGACTCGCTGAAATAAAAAAACAGCCCAGTGCCAGCCGACCTGTCCACACCCGCCGAACTGTGATAATATGGCTGGCTCCGCCCAGTTGTTTACATTTTCGGGTTGACCGGTCTGCTCCAGCAGACAATTCTCCCTGCTTTGGCTGTCACTTTGGCTCGGCAAGTCGAAGCATATGCATTTGGCTTTGCTCAGCCGTTCGCCTGCCTTCGGCTGCTGTACATGCTATTGCTTATAGCCCTTCGGTTCGGCTCAACTGGAGGGCTCCGGCGGCCAAATTGAGCCAAAGGATTAGCTGATGCTTCTACTTAATCCTTCGGCTCAATAGTGAATAACCCTCTAAGTAAGAGGATTACTTTTCAGCAGGACCTATAAGCAGCATGTACTTTGTATTATATGCTCCCCCTCTACCCTGATTTGCCACCAGATTTGAGATTTGGACAACTTGCACAGGCCCATGCACACCCGCCGTCTCTATGTGACAGCTTTTAGAGTCTGAGCGGTCAATTTGGGCACAATCCCCCCATACCCAAATGTACCAGATATTTCTGGAGCAGTCTAGCAGAGGACTGAAGTGGAAAGGAAAGGTAGGGAAGAACAAGAACAAAAGCTGGAATCCAGGAAAACAGCTAAGTACACAGATGAAATGCATACATGGGAGCTGTTTTATCTGCCAAAAGATTTGTATTTGTTAATCCACTCCTGAGATTTACACAGCACTGCCCAACACGCAACACTTTCTAGCAGGTGAGGGCCCTTAAACTTTCTCTGCTTCAGTTTCACTTACATGTCATCACCCCACCCCTACCCAGTGACTGGACACTGAAAGGAGAAGCAGCACACTAACAGGCTCATCTATATCTGTCCTACTATGAGCATGTTCCTTGTGCTGCACTACACTTGATTAGATCATTGTGCTGCGTCTCCCTCCCCATCTCTGTGCTGCTGTACAGACTGTATAGAAGACTGCAAGAGTCTAATTGAACGGTTTTATTAAGTCAAATACTTACACTTTCATTTAAAAATACAGTTAAGAACTTATTACAGGATTACAGAGATGCATTAATGTGTATTTGTTATATCTGCCTGGAGTTTAACTTTAGAATGACACTAAACTCAGGAGTTAAATCTTAAAAATGCATTCAAGTACCTTAACTATTAATAATAATGTATCATATTTGTGTATCACTGAGCTTTAGATCCTCAAATCATCTCTGAATTGGTGCTGACACTCCTTCCTTCTGGAGGGTGGCTACTTTTGTTTCCCATGGTCCCTGTGTGTGTTCTAAAGTAGCCATCACTGCAAGCTTGCTCCCATGATGGACTATGATGTCAGGTTTAGTTAGCTAATTTGTATTGAAGTTATTGTCTGTCATGGGAGTGAGCTTGGAGTGGTGGCTACTTTACAACTCGCACAGGGACCATGGGGAACAAGTGTTGCCACCCTCCAAGAGGAAGGACAGTGTCAGCATTAATTCAGAGATGATTTGAGGATCTACAGCTGAGTGATACACAAATAAAGGTACATTTTTGTTAGGCGTTAAATCTTAAAAATGCATTCAAGTACCTAAACTATTGAGTTTAGTGTCACTTTAAGATTAGCCTATAAATTCAGCTACAGTCGAATATATCCTTGGATCCACTGACTGATGGTTCTCACAGAAGGTGACCTCTGTCATGTGAGATGACCCTGTCCTTGTAGCAATTATATCCAATGCTGTAGCAGCTCCTGGGCAAATGGAACCCTGAGCCCCTGCTAAGTGGGAGTTGAAAGCAATTTCTTTGAGTTTGTGAATCTTTAGTTTCACTACCTAAAGGGCCTCATGAACATAACATTTAACAGTTTAATTTGATAGGAGGTAGAGCAAGAGAAGATGGAATACCCCAAAGCTCAATGGTTGTGCTTGGACAGATTCTCAGGCCAGAAGTCGCTGGGTGTCTCTCAGCACCCAGAAGCATCACACAGAACTTCTTCTGAAGCAGTTTAGCCCCAACAAAATTGAAGATTGTAGTGTTTCTCTGTTCTAGTGATGACTCTAGCATAGGACAACCCTAGCGCACAGTCTGCATGCAGAGAGGTACCACCCTCTAGGCCTAAAGACAGGCACGCAGCCTTCTTAAATGTCCAGCCTTTTCCCAGAGAGGAGGACTTTCCTAGGACCTTTCTAAAACAGCTGTTTTGTCAAAGTCTGGTCCAATGCACTGGTGACAAACTCACAAGGGCTTGGCTAGCTAATAATATAGGCAAGACTTCCAGCACCCTCTCTTGACACAGGACACTGGAGCTTCCCTCCTTGACTGTAAGATAAATGCAAATACAGTAATCCCAGAACACCATTTAACAAGAGAGACCTGGCAAAATGTAAATTCTTACAGACAGCAGGGGCTGGGAAACACACATCCTTAAATACCGTTTTATTATATGCTCACTTAAAATGACCAGGATTGGTACTGGCACTTTAAGAACTTGTATAAAGGCAGGGCCCCTGTCAGAAGAGGTTGTTTCATATAGATGAACATCCATTTTCATTTACCTCAGGTACCAAACTGCTCTTTATATCACAAGCAGTAGCATTAAAAGCAGATTGATGTCAGTCACATCATTTATTTAATACCCATCCCTAATGATCCTTTTTAGCAACACAGTTCAAAAGGCAGCCTACAGTAACCTCTGACAGCCAATCGGGACTCAGTTTAAAAAAAAAAAATTGCTAATCAGGACTGAACTGCAAGTAAATAGCAGCATGGGAGTAGAAAGCACGTCAATCCACAAATTTATATGGCAAAAGCTTTGCAAAAACACATGAAGCAATACATTTATTGGTGACACTGTTCAGTGAGTTAAGTGTATTATACTCACAGAAGGTCACTGTTTTCATTAAATGAAATCTCTTTAAAGGAAACCTGCAATCACAGAAGTACATAGGCTGCCATTTCTGACCTTTGCTTCTACAAATGCTAATTGCCTGTCTTGGTGATATTTTGTTTTTAATACTTTGTGACCTAGCTGAATTATAGAGATAAGGAATTATGACTTTTCTCCACATTTGATTTGCTGCATGCAGGTATTGAAGCCAGCAGGTAATTAGGATTAGCGAAAATGGCTACCTATTTCTCTTATGACAGGTGTACTTTAGAATCATATTACAAAGGAACTCCTACCAGTCAACAAATACAATCAGCACAGCACAACAGCTCTTTTGACAAAAGCTAGAAATGCAAGATTATCCATCTAGGCTTGCTGTCCACTCCAACCTGTTAAATGCTACTTGTATGTTATTGATCCTTACACTGCATTATGCCCAGATGTTTCAGCCCAAATAATTCTCACTTGTATTTTTCATGTATATCCCACTCTCCTTTATTCCTAACTGTATTTTCTTACTTATCCCCCTCTTATCCACACCTGCCTCATGTAATGAGTACAGTATGTCATTTAGAGGTACAGCCACTTCATAACTTTAACCATGTGCATCATCTAAAGCTCATATTACGAACCTGCCTCATCCAGAGAAGCAGCACAACCTCGAATTGAACAATTTTATTGACTCCAACACGTATGATATAATATATACAACTCATTAGCATGTCTATAACCTACCAATGCATTGAACATTCACCTTGGAGAACATCAACGTTTACTTGCTCTTTTGGCCTTACTTGTGTATGCAGATGAATCACTGTATCTGTAACCTTGTTATTTTTGCTTAAGAAATAAGAATTGTTAAAAAAACCTAAAATTCTTACTTGGGAAGATTTACCGCTCCCTGATGTTTGCCTCGGCAGAGTGAGAAGGACCCCTTCAAACAGCTGGTTAGTCTCCTGGTTATCTTTGGTGATATCAGCATTCTCATGCAGTCCAAACACCTCTGGGTGAGTAATAAGGGGTAAATTTCTTATGTAATCTACAAAAGACTTAAAGAAAATATAACAACCGGTTTAATTTATGAATGACTACAGTAAGTAAATAGTAATACAGCACCTTAACTTCATAATCCAACTGGTATTTTATAACAGTACAATTGCCATAATCATTACTGACATACCCCCATTGACACATTTAAAAAGTGCAGTAGTGTTCTTTATGAATTTGCTTAGCGTTCTAGTGGAGTCCCAAAGGAGGCAAAGGCCATTTGTTACAATGAATGAAAAGAAAGTGGTAGGAGTACAACCCAAATTATTTTACCTGTCAAACGCATATGTCTGGTCTCTCCTTCAATCAGCAAATGCCAGATAACCACTCTTACAATCACAACTTTGTTTATATTTCTTTAGCCCTCATAAGGTATGATAGCATGAACAAGGGGAGAACTGAGAGTTTGGAAGAAAGACTGTACAGGCACTTCATTGTCATGAAAGATTAATGGCAGCCTCCATTAATCTCTCCTGACCGTGTCCCTTTAAGAGTGCAGAAAATGGTGCCTTTTCTTGGAGTCCATTGAGGGACACGTACTGAGGTTATACTACTGCCTATTTGAGAAAGGGTCGCTAGCAACAAAAAAACTGTTAGCCAGCACATAATAAACCAGCATGCCCTAGTTTTGTAGCAAAGTGGCACTGAGAGCATGATCGTCAAAAGACTCAAAGGATTTTTTTGTTGAGTACAAAAATCCTATATTCTTTCTTGATCATTTAGGGACACAAGGAGTCTTTAACCTTCAGAACATTCAAAAGCTGCCCAACTAAGCAATGGGCAACAAAGTAAAACAGCTAAAAGACCCAAGAAAAAAACAAGTGCCTGCAGTTCAAAAAGCTGCCTGAAGGACAGTTCTCCTGAAGCTTGCATCAGATGAGGCTTGAACATCCACCTGGTTGAACTTAGAAAATGAAACGAGAAGGCCAGGTTATAGCCTTGAAAATAGAGAAAAATTGCAAGAACCACTCACAGATCTAGTAGATTGCAGATAAGAAGGGTTAGAGAAGAGAAAGGGATGCATCTAATGGGTTCAAATAGCAGTTTCTGAAACACAGAGAGAACCAGATTAAGATCCTATGGAGTCAAATGGGAAGGAACAGTGGGTGCTAAAAGGGAGATTCCTTGTACAAAGGTCTTAATCAAGGAGCAAGAGGCCAATGGTTTTGGAAACAAGCCAGAAACATTACCTTTGTTAGTGCTGAGAGCCAAATCCTAGAGTGGAAGCCCGGAGACTCAAACCACTGCTTCTGCTAGCGGAAATCTTTACCTGGAGACAAATCTGTCCAGTTTGTTGTTGAACCTGGAGGCTAGGAGGTCCACATCCAACGTTCTCCACCTGTGACACAGGTCCTAGAACACCTCTAGGTATAAGGAGTACTCTCCCAGGTTTAGGGGCTATTGGCTGAGGAAGTCTACTTGCCAATATTCTGTGCTGGTGGGAGAGCTGTACTGGTGGGGGACTGGTGGGAAGGTAATTGTTACCTAATTGTGTACTCTGTCTACTGACGTGTGCATTACACATACCTCTGCACTCTGTGCATTACATACTCCGTTCCCTCACTCTGTGCATTATGCATTACTAAACCCTGGGCTCTGTGCGCCACACGTTTCTGACCCCACACTCTGTGCGATGTGCACTTCTGAGCTCTGCAATATATACACTATACTGTATATTTCATACTGCTAACCACTGAACTCTGTTTACAGTGATGTAAATACTCTGTTTAAGTGATGTGATACTCCCGACCACTGCACTTTATGCACTAGGCTGTATAAGAGATACTGCTGACCACTGCACTTTTGGTACATACTCCTGAACCCAGAACTCTTTCTGAAGGTAGGCTGTGTGCAGAAAATCATAATGGAAGAGTATGATTTTTTTTTCACAAATGATGGTGCTGAGGTTTGTACATGTCTGTCAGATATTCACTTGTGGCACAGTAATGAAAGCATATTTTTTTATACAAATACCGTGGCTTTTAAGCTCCTCCCACTGCTAGCACAATTTTGCAACAGCCGTAATTCACTGCATGTGCTGTGAGCGTGCCACCTACTTATTCTACTCATGTCCAAAGCTGAACTCTTACCCCCCCAGGAAAATAAGTCATCTACAGCGCTGTGCACCTGGGATGTACATGGCCAACAAGGCAGGAACATGAAGTTACCCATGTCCAAGGCTGAACTCTTACCCCCCCCCGAAAAATAAGTAATCTACAGCGCTGTGCACCTGGGATGTACATGGCGAACAAGGTAGGAACATGAAGTTCTGCCTAGCATGGGATTGGACACTTTTGGCATCTAGGATTTGACATATCTGGCATGAATCTACCAGCACCTGTTAATAGTCGAAAACGAGCTGAAGAAAACCAAGGAGCTGAAGAATATCCTAAGGCATGCTGGTTTTTGGTGCGGTTATCCTATACTGGCTAATCGTTGTGTTTTTTTGTAAGTGTTCTTTTCTCCCATAGCTGGTAGTATAACCCAAAAGGTAAAGATTTCCTGTTTTCCTTAATGGACATAAAATAACTGCTTCCTACTGTCAAGAGTGAGACCTGTTACTTTTTAAATTAGGTATTGGCAGTCCCTCCTAATCGAGTGGTCTGCTCACTATTTATCTCAGTAACTTCAATAGGAAACTAGAGAAGTGGTAGTTTTAGGCCAAGCCCTAGTTTTTCAGGAAAAGTCCAGATTTCCATATAATATTAGCTTCCTATATCTATAGATCCTTTATGTGATATGTTCAATTTAAATTGCACAGGTTTACTTTGAAAACATGTTTAATTTTTGTTATAGTTGTTTCTGTTTATCCATACATGACATTGTTTGGCTTGGATTTTTGTTATTCTGTATGAAACAAAATGTCTGCTAAAGTTTTTGTATTTTCAGTGTGAAAATTCTCAAAGTTAATTTTAAAAAATTGAACGGATAAAAAACATGCCTGTGTATAATTTCAGTACCTGATATGTGCCATATGGAGGAATATAATAAAGGTCTCCTGGAGAAAGTCTGTAGTTATCTTGCTGTATCTCCTCATTGTAGAATATGGAAAGTAGGGAGATAAGGAGGCGCCTGTCCTTATCATCTGTCACTCTTCCGCCATAGTTACATTCCCCTGCAGAGAAAATTAGACTCTTACACTTTGGCATTTTATAAACTTGATCCCTCCCTCCATTGGCATGGACTTCACATGAAGTCAGTCCTTTTAACCTTTAAAGAGGTCAGTCTTGTCTAAGGGCAGATGTCTGCTTTTACCTTTTAGCCAGAAAGCCTCTGTGAGCACTAAATGGGTTACTTAGGGCCTGACATTCCTAATTACAGAGCTAAGAGGATGCATTGCCCAACATGGAGGAAGTCACACCCTTTTGTAAGAAAGTGAAAACATCTTAGGTGCTATAAAAAAGTTTTTTTTCTGGCTATTAAAGGAGACCTTAGACACAGCTTTTAGTTCATGGATGTCATATGAGGCACGCAATATGTTTATTTTTATTGGTCTCCAGCTAAGACCCTATAGAAGTCAATTGATAATAACCTTAGTTGAGCCCAAAGACTGAGCTTCTTTACATACTGAGTAGTTTATGGATTGGGCAAATTAGTAGCCCCATATTTTATGTGCCCGGGTGTTGCAGAGCAGATCTAATGTGCATGTGTATTTTTGATCAATATACATAAACACCCAGCCATTTTGGTGCCTTTTATTTAAATATCTTGATACATTTACAAGGAGAACCTCATAAGCTGCATTGAGTTAGATCACTTTGCCTAGACGATGCACAGGATTATGCTATTTGGCCTGTGCCCTGAATGAAATTTGTAGACATGTGCATGGGTGAAAATTTTCAATTCAAATGTTTTTTTTCGCTTTCTGAAACGTTCGATATTCAATATTTGGAATTCGGATCAATCCGAAGTTTTTGTTTAGTGAAATAAATGAACTTTTGCACGATATTCTAATTTTTCGAGTTTCACCTGTATATGAATGGAGTTTAGTATTTTGTTGGGGAAAATAAATTGTGTTGGGTTCCCCCCCAAAATGCCTACCACACCCTATAGGTCTGAAAGGAATTTTAGGGGGGACGCCATGCCAAAGAAAAAGCATGGGGTCCCCTCAAAATCCTTTACCAGACCCTTGATTTGAGCAGCGGCCCGGCAGAGCTGGCCAGGTCACCGTGATGGACTCGCTCCGCCCCTTTGTTTAGATTCAAAAGCAGAGCTGTCATAAGCAGTGGGTGTTCGGCAAATGCGGATGAGGTGATGCAGATTTTTTATTTCATTGGGTTGGTGAGCGGCGGGCACCATGATTGACGAGGATCTACATCGCTGGACGACATAATTGATTTAAATTGTGGGACTTTTTTCTTTATTAATAAAGGACTTGTCAAAACTGTGTGGTGTGTTTATTTACTATCCTAATGTTTATTTGATGAATGAGTAGGGGTAACAACTACCCCTTACTCATTCACAAGGGGAGGGCGCCATCTGGGTGCCCCCAGATTTGGATAAGCCCCCAAGCCTGCAGACTGCCACAACCACTGGGCCAGGGTTGTGGGGAAGAGGCCCTTGTCCTCTTCAACATGGGCACCCTGTCCCATGTTGAAGGCATGTGGCCTGGTATGGTACAGGAGGGAGGGGAGCATGATTGCCCCCCCTTTCCTGCTCTGCCAGGTGCTGCTTGGATCAAGGATCTGGTAAGGAATTTTGGGGGAGACCCCACGCTTTTTTTTTGCCATGGGGTCCCCCCTAAAATTCCTACCTGACCTAAAGGATCTGGTATGAATTTTGGGGAGGACCCTTTGCTGTTTTTCTTTTTTCGATTTTCATGTTTAACAACATGTCAGTTAATTCCGAATTACATGTGGATGCATCCAAATTTTTGTTATCAAAAATTCTGATACGTTCAAATTCATAATTTTTCAGAAATTCGAAAGCATCCAAATTTCAGAATGTGACAATTTTCTTGCGAATGCCAATTCGAATGAAAATTAATGCAACAGTCTATAAATGTGTTTTACATTGTAACATACAGACAAAGAAGGGCATCCGATTGAACTTAACTGTAGTACAACCAAAATACAACAGATAATAATTTTGTATCTGTATTTTTACAGCAGTGTAACCAAAGCGCACCACATATAAATGAATGGTAACACATATAAAAATGTGTGAATATGCATTTAACAGGTTGTTTACACCTGAATTAATGCATATATTACTATATTTAAAAAAACATAGCCAAGGGCTAGAGAGTAGTCATAGTAAGGGCTAGGGAGTACACAGCGAGAACATTAATCCTTTATAAAAGAACACAGCATTACTTATGACTCCAAGACTTTTCCAGAACAAAAAACAATAATCACATTTTCACAATGTACTCTATATTCATGAACATCTATCAGTACGCTTCTTTTTAAGAACAAATCAATATGTACCTGTCTCTTATTATATTCTAAGGTAACATGCAGGTTTCCTATATTTAGAAAAATTTACTTGCTTGTAAGTTTATGCACTACAGAATGCATTTTACCTTTAGCTCTTGGAATATAAATCACAAAGTAAAGAATGAAGGTGGAACATTTATTATTGCCAAGATGTACCCATTAATGCGTTGCATTTTTAGTACATATTCATGAAAATCAATCATTTTGAAACAGAAAACAATCTATAATATCTCGAAGACAGAATATTTGCCTTGCAAAAGCTTTTTTTAAAATATCACTAAAAAAGAAAGTTTTGCTAGCTAAGAGAACCGTATAAATGATTCCATAAATTATAGAAGTGTTCAGCTTCCAACAGCACAGAGAGTAAATTGGATTTGCATATTGTTCCATATTACAAATAGTGACCAAACTTAAAGTAGTATTAAACGCTCAAACTTTTTTTCAATAATGAATCCAGATCAAACAAAAATTAATTGCCCAGCAAAGCATTGCTTTACATTTTTGCCCAAACACTTACAATCATCATGTTTCTGAACAGCTGCTTTCAAGTCTCAACTCAGCTTCCTTGAACTCCCTGTACAGTGCAAGATCACAAAGGACAGTGGAGACTCCAGCAACTGTTCATCTACTAGCTTGGAGAAGGGAGGAGAGGGGGCAAGGAGGGAGGGGAGTAGCTTGATTTGCTGTGTCTGTGTGTTTGTGGAGACACACACAGCTTACTAGCACACACACGGGTGACTGCATAGTACTCTGCTTGAGAAAGGAGGCACTCTAGGACAGGAAGTCAGGACCAGTACTTAGGGGACCAGCTGATTCTGCAGAAAACTAAAACTTTTAAACATCAAGGAGCAGCATTCATTGTAAGTGGTTTCATCAGCATTTGTAATAGCTTAAAATCCTTTTGACTTTAATATCACTTAAAAAGGACTATATAACATTTTAGATACAGAAAGGGAAAAGCCCAATAAGCAGTGCCAAACCATACTCATGCCAAAAGCTACAACAATCATTTGCCGTAACCATCACCATTTCAGCAACAAAAGCCAATTATAGTGACATGGCTGCCTTGCAGCCTTGAGAAGGAATTCAACACTGGCAAACAAAAAAGCCATTGGCCAGCCAGGTATAACCCCTTCCACTACCATGATGCTTCAGTTTTGTCTAAAATCAGTACAAGGAGTAGATCACAGAGGGTTGGGACCTGTGTCCCCTAATGAATTCTAAGAGAAGGACTACATGGCAAGTACAAAAAACGCGTTTTCTTTCACTTTTATTAATGGACATAGGATTCAGTTATTCAAAAACAACTGTGATGTCCAAAAGCAGTTCAAATGAGGCGTGGGCAACAGTAGCAAAGCACTAACAGGCCCACATAACAAAACAGTTAAACTGCTGCCTGAAGGACCTTAAGCCCGAAACGGACATCACATATGGTCTAAACATCCCCCATCCATCAGAGAATGTGTAAACAGAAGACCAGGTAGCAGTCTTGCAAATATGGGAAACACGTGCCTGATGCCAAAATGCCTAAGAACCGTTAAGCGATCCAGTAAAGTACACTTTAACAGAAAAAGGTGGAATCTAGTATTTATGGCTATAAGCTTGATAAATGATCTAAGTTGTGGAGTAAGAAGCTGGTTACCCTTTACCTGCACTGCATGAACTACATCCAGGCAGTGAAGAGAAATTTCCTTTTTATGTACTGGAGCTGGACACTGTCCTGGTTGAAGTGAAAAGACGAAACCACCTTAAAGAAGGAGGCGCTAGCTTTCGATGTCACCTTCTCTGTGTGTGGGACCAAATAGGATTCTTTGTAGGACAGGCCTGCCAGCTAAGATACATGCCTCACAAAAGTGATGGCAACAAGGAATGAAACCTTGTGATTGAGAATGTAAGGTTAAATATCTCCAATGGGTTTGAAAGGCAGTCTTTGGGGGTGATTTACTAACCTAAACACACGCACGCACCAGGTGCGTGTGATTTTCACACAGCAAAACTTATTTATCAACCAAAAAGTCTCTAAAAGCATATTTCCACTAATGCCATATATGGAAAAATCATGCACATGATGCATATATAATGCTGCTTCACAGTTTAGACAAAAATGGTTAGCTCATGCATTTACATTCCTGCATTCATCAACGCAAGCAACACAACATAGAGCTAATTTACACAACATCACCTTGCAATTCATGCTTGGCTTTGCACAACAAACCTGCTGGGTTTGTACACACTACAAAGGTGTTTAGATTCCACCCATAGATCATGCTATAGTAAATCAACCCCTTTGACTTCAAAGACTGCCTTTCAAACCCATTGAAGATTTTTAACCTTACACTCTCAATCACAAGGTTTCATTCCTTGTTGCCATGAAAAGATCCAAATCCCACGGAGTCATATGTGGTTGTACAGGAGAGGCCACATGAAAGACATGTACAAAAGTCTTAACTAATGATTAAAAGGCTAGCAGTCTTAGAAATAAGATCATAAGGGCTAAGAATTGCCCCTTAATGGTACTCAAGGCCAAATGATGATCCAGCTCGATTGCAGAAAGCATAGGATGCTTCCCACAATGTATTTCTGAGGTGAAATGTTATTTCCTCGCATCAAGCAAAGTAAGCCTTCCATGTACGATGGCCATGGCAAGACTTCTGTTTCCTCCGTGATGATTGAGGTCACCAGAGGCTGTGCCACTGCTGGAAATCACTGTGCGTCTAACACAGTACACATAGGTGTGGAAAGCACTACAAGCAAAGGCCAATGCCCAAAGGTCACATTCCAAGCAGGTTATGAAATCTTCAGTCCAGTGGGGTACAGCCTCCAATTCTATTGCTGAGGATCTGGATAGCGGCATAAAAAGACCAGCTCAGCAGCAGGTATTAAAAGTCCTGATTGAAGAACAAATTTTCTCTAAAAAGGAGAAAATGGCTAGTTACAAAACGTAAACTTTTCTTTAAAAAAAAGTTGTCCATCCTCCTGGGACACCAGCAAAAAAACAAAGCCTAATGGGAGTGGGAGGGGTTGTACCTGGTTGGCCAGCTGCAGTATAACCCAATTGTCTCTGAATGCCTGAATCCTATGTCCCTTAAGGGAGGAGAAAGAAACTAATTTTGCAAAAGTGAAACAGAATTGGTCTTTAAAAGTAGAATTGTATTTGTCTGTCTCAAGTCCTGATTTGAACACAACTACAATGTTAACATGTTCCATGCTTACACAATTAACAGTGTTAATCCACAGAAGAATAAAATAAACAAATATATATATGTGCCGAGCTATTAAAAAAGATAAAACTGTGTTATGAAATAATGTGTAAATCAAACAGGTACATTGTACATTGTGGGAAATAGATTGAGGGAAAGGCACACGTAATCTCATCCACGTGAAAAATCTAAAGCTCAAATGGATACAAATCCTTAATAACTATAGTAAAGTGCAGCAGAATTCAAAAGTGCAAACAAAAGATACATATGTGTATGAAGCTATCTCAACAATCATAGGACACAAAATAAAGTGCAAAAAAGTTCAAAGGTATAGTGAACACATATCTAATATTATCCACATGTTAAAATCCTTTTCCACACTATCAAGCAGCCACCAATCTAAAAGTGGAAATCCTTTTCCACACTAAGAAAGCCACCGATAAGAAGTCTCTTCAAATCCTTCACCATGCAGACCCAGTATACAGTCCTTGAACCCATCACACTCAAAACCGCTGTTCCATATAAAAGACGGGTGGTGCGGCAGTAAACGGATGGCAACCGTCTATAATCATAGGATAACATAGACACCGGCACTCCAAGTAATGAATCACTAGCGTCTGTTTATTGACGGATGAAACATAGCACAATGCATCAAAAAATGCTTTTTGATGCATTGTGCTATGTTTCATGCGTCTATAAACAGACGCCATTGATTCATTACTTGGAGTACCGTTGTCTATGTTATCCTATGCAGACCCAGTAATACTCCAGATAAGCAATTCTTTATTAACAAAAAGGTACTCACATAAAACCCTCAAAAACGGGCATGTGTGTACATCACTTATAGCAAGAGCAGGGGCCTCCTCCTTAGTGTAAAACCCACAATATAAGGAGCAGGGGCCTCCCCCTTACCGTAAAACCCACAATATAAGGGATAAAACTAGAGAGTTAAGCCCTAAATATTCAGCAATAAACACATTGTTAAAGTGAATGTTACAGGTAAATCCAAATGATCCTAACAATAAGGGGGAAAGGAGAATGGGATCAGTAGGGCAGACATCCATATAGGTTCATATATTTCATATGTACGTAATACACACAGGGTTGCTAAATTAACATGGAACTTTGGACTGCTGCTGTGGATTACCTGTCAGGTAAGTAAGAGCTTCAAATGGAACTACTTCATACTCATTGAGGAACATCTGAATCTGTCTCATGCTGATTCTCAGGTCAGACTCATTGAACTCATACAAGATATTCCAGCCTGTTAGAATGTAAAAGAAAAAATTACAATTGTAAAAATAATTACACCAAAAAGCAAGCCTTCAAACAGATGCACATGAAGAAGACCACATTTTAGATATCCTATTTAAAGCTTTGTGTAAATACAAATGTACTGTGTTTTGAATAGGAAGTACAAAAATCATGTGTTATGAGCAGCTGAATAAGGATTGGCCTTTTCCACCTGCTTACAATACATTATAATTCACAGCCCTTTCCAGCTATGAGTTTTACCTTTCCTTAGAGTGAAATGATGTCTGATTTTGATGAAAAGCTATCCTTTCGCCAGTGTTAATTCTGTCACAAACTGTCTGACACTCATTTGGTTTCTCTCTGTATTTATGTGGGTTAACGCCTCAGGTTTCTCTGGTTTCATCCCGCAACCCAAAAACATTCTATTTGATTAATTGGGAAGGGCTGCCAGGGTTCTGATGCAGGTTGCTTTTGCATGTTGATTGCACCATGTAACTACCCCCCTCCTTGTGATGCTAAAGCTGGTCATACACTGTTAAATTAAAAAAATACAACAGACTCCTCCATCCACACTGAACAGCTTAGATGGATGAATCTCCCGCGGTGTCCTTTGTGTGAGTGTGCCGCTGTCAGAATACTTGAACAGTTACTGCAGCTGATTGGTGATTGATTGATGAAATTAGCACAGTGTATGGCCAACTTTAAGTTCCATGGTTGAAATAACTGGAATTTAGTGAATGAAAGTGACGGGCCAGGGACAGTCAGGCCTGGGGAGGAAAGTTCTAGTTGATGCTGGACGTCCTTGAGCCAGGAAATGAGGTGGTTCTATCTGACTTGTTGCATATCCTAATGCATACTATGAAAAGATTACAATTTGCAGTGAAATCGGAGTAAGCAATTTCAGTAAAGGAGAGGAGTCGGTACATCTCTGCGAGACGGAAGGTGAGGCTGGAGTTCAGTTTTAATATACCAGTTATTTTTGGCTTCTGTAAAAAGAAGTATCTAAATAGATACTGTAAATCTAAATAGTATCACTAAATGTATCAGCTGATACTTCCCCCATTATTAGACAGGGGTCTAATTATACATGTTTTCACACAAGTCACATAACTTTCACCCACGATTCAAACATTTTCTAACTGATTCATATGCCCACCCTTCACCCTCCTCTTTAAAAAAAAAAAAAGATGAGACTTCTTGCCTAAATTAACCAGTCTCTGCAATACTGCACATTTGCCAGCACCTAGCGGTAGAGACTAATGGTCTGTACATTTCCTTTCACAGTGCACTGCTCTATATGGCCAGGTACCAATGACAGTGCAGTATTTAAAAGATGCTGGCTCCCAGGCAGGGTCAAGTTGTCTGATCCCACACAGACAGGAGAATTTAGACGCTACAGAGATCCAATCTCAGATCTGTCCCATGCTTGTGTGAAAAGGAAGCATCCAACTGGTTAATAAATTGTATATGCTCTCTGCTAAAAATAGAATATTTCTGGTTAAGCACAATGGAAATCTGTATCTTCAGGAACACATTATACACATCAGGAATGGTAAAAACCCCATTTAAACAGAAAGTAAACCCAGCATATACAACTCCAAATTATACCAGCCTACCATGATATAGAGTTTGGGATTAAAAGTACTATTTCTGTGTATGCAGATGACACCAAGTTATGTGGAATACAGTCCTTACAGGATGTCTCCAACCTACAAGCAGACGTGAATGCACTGTGTGATTGGCATCTATTTGGCAAATGAGGTTTATTGTTGAGAAATGTAAAGTTATGCACTTGGGGACTAAAAACATGCATGCGTCATACACTCTAGGGGGAGTATGTTTGGGGGAGTCAATGATGGAGAAAGATCTGGGTGTTCTGGTAGATCATAGACTGAATAATAACATGCAATGTCAAGCCGCAGTTTCTAAAGCAAGCAAAGCAAAATACTTTCTTGTATTAAAAGGGGTCTAGACTCCAGAGATAGAGACATAATCCTACCTCTGTACAAAGCATTAGTAAGACCTCATCTGGAATATGCAGTTCAGTTTTGGGCACCAGTTCACAAAAACGATGTTGTGGAACTGTAGAAAGTGCAGCGAAGGACGATTAAACTCATAAGAGGCATGGAGGAGCTCAGCTATATGGAAAGATTAACTGACCTGAATTTGTTCTCTCTGGAGAAGAGGCGGTTAAGGGGGGACATGATCACCATGTATAAATACATAAATGATCCATATAGTGAGCTTGGTGCCAAATTATTCACTTTAAGGTCACTGCAAAGGACAAGGGGGCACTCTTTGCGTCTGGAGGAAAACAGGTTTAACCTTTGCATAAGAAAAGGATTCTTCACAGTTAGAGCTGTGAAAATGTGGAATAGACTCCCCCAGGAGCTAGTTCTAGCTAGCTCAGTTAATTGTTTTAAACAAAATCTGGATGTATTCCTAAATACACAGAATATTACTGGATATTGAGTTCTTATAGGTATATTAAGCATCAGATATTGTTGATCCAGGGAATATCCGATTGCCTTATGGGATCATGAAGGAATTTGTTTTCCCATATTGAAGCAAATTGAGCCATGCTTTATAGGGGAATTTTTTTTGCCTTCCTCTGGATCAACAGTGGTTAACTGTGGGCAAAACATTCTGTTTTAGGTTTTTCTTTCTTTTTTCTCATCTTATCTCTATAGGTTGAACACTATGTAACTATGTAACCATCCTACTCCTCTCCTGGTGATCTTGAGATACTCTAGCTTGTCTGTGCCTGTACCACCATGAATAGGAATATAGAGCTGGTAGCGTGTGCACAGCATTGAAGAACTCATATTTCACCAAGTGGGAATACAGCACCAAACCTGTATCGTCAATATAGAGCTGGCCTAAAATGGTATTATACACCCATATATAACTATCGGATGAAACTGCACACCCCACTATCTTTTTTAATTGTGGTTTCTTTTCTTGGTGGCTCTGTGCCTACCCCTTCTTAATGCACCCCCTTTCCTAGTTCTGGTTCTCAAGACCTGTCTCGTTTTCTCTTTACTATACAAGCTCAATGTGACTTTTATATGCAATAAGGACCACATGAGACTCATATAGCATGACATATTACCTGGTGCCTGGTACCTGGTGTATATCAAACCATGGAGGTGTAAACTAGTGACCACCTTTAGGCATTGGGAATAGGTAAACGACTGTGGTTTGTGTGCAGGTGTTTTTTTTAATAGATGTTAGCACACTGTAGATATAAGAATGATGACCGAGACAAACTACCATTCTCCACATAAAATATAGTTAATAAAACATGGTGTAGCAAAAGAAATCGTGTCACAATTGTTTTTGGAAAACATTTACAATAATAGCTCAAAATGAATATTCACTGGAAATACAGTACAGTTTTCACGTAAATCCTCTTACCTAATGGGCCAAAGGTCCTTCTTTCTTGAACCAAAGCATGGAAGAAACACAAGCCAAATAAGAGTTTCTGCCACATCCTGGGTTTTTGACAGCTGCTGAAGAAGACAGGATCAGATATGGGATTGTTCAGGTATGATCGCAGCAGATTGGCCCGCAGACCCTTAGGGGGTTCATTGGTCATTTTTATGCCATTCTGCAGGATGCTTACAGGGAACTTGTCCGAAGGATAACTGGTTAACCAAAGCCTGCAAGATAAATCATTAATATTTATTTATTTATTATTGGTATTTATATAGTGCCGACAATTTACGCAGTGCACATCAATAATATCTAATTTGCCCCTATAATAAAATCTAATTTTTGGTAACAGCATTTGTAAATTGATTTGTGGAGTCTAGTAACCAAACATATTTCAGTTTTTTTATACTAATGCTTTGTGGGGGATTAGCACAAACATATGACAGTACAGATGGAGACCTCAGCATAAAGTCTCCCCACACAGGGGTACTAACACAGTCTTATCAGCCTCTTGGGCAGCAGTTTCCAACACAGCTTTTCTATCATATACACAGACAGAACTCTACTCCCCAGCAGCAATTCCTACTTTATTAACTTACGTTTGGTTTTCCAGCAAGGTTAAAAAAAAACTGGCTCGGCCCACTTATTATCCTAGAGCTCCCATAGAGCCGACATCCATTAACCTTCCTATCGCTCCCCTTACCTGTAAGCTTTTATCTATCAACGCCAAAGGTCTGAATGTCCCGGAAAAAAGATCTCAATTTCTCAGAGCTTTCTCCCACCACAAAGCACAGGTAATCCTGTTACAGGAAATGCACTTTCGAAGTGACGCAATACCAACTTTTCGCTCCCGACAATACCCAGTGGTGTTTCACTCCACCAATCCAACCTCCAAAGCCACAGGGGTCTCAATTGTATTCTCCTCCCGGGCCAACTTTCAACTCATAGACCAACTATTTGACCCTGACGGCAGATACCTAATGCTTAAAGGCACACTGAATAACACCCCAGTGACTATAAGTGACTATAATCAACATATACTGCCCAAACAAAAGGCAAGTCCACTTCTTCCAAGAGGCTTGCTCCCGAATCCGAGATTTTGCGGAAGGACTTCTCATCCTAGGGGGCGACTTCAACGTTCCCTTAAATCCTCTCCTTGATACATCATTGGGTAGCTCAGCGTTACCTTTCCGATGCCTGAGACTGATCAAAAAGCTTCTGACATCTCTGAATCTGCATGACACGTGGCGATTCCTCCACCCCACGGTGAAAGATGTCACCTTTTTCTCCCATCCGCACTCGAGCTACTCCAGATAAGATTTCTTCTTCCTGTCCCAGAGAGACCTGCCTAACCTAGCGGGAGCCACAATTGAGCCTATGGTCCTTTCGGACCATCCACTCTAGATTATGGAAACTGAACCCCTCGGTCTTAGGGGAAGCAATCTATGTCTCCCAGATCCAACACAAGCTCACCAAATATTTCTCCCTCAATTCAGACACATGCTCGACTTCCGCGTGGGAAGCGCACAAGAGTGTCATCAGAGGGGAACTTATTCGGGTGCAAGCCCATATCCTTCGGCAACATAAATCCCAGTGCTCCTCTCTGCTGGCATGCATTGCCACTTTGGAGAAGCTACACAAAAGATCCCTAACTCTATCTCACTTAACAGAACTGACCCAGACCCGTAATGATCTCCTTCATCTCCTGCAGGAGGGTACGCGAAAGGCTTCCTGGCCCGCAGCAAAATTTACTATGAGCATGGCAATAAATCGGGTAAATTCCTGGCACGGGCCCTAAAAAAAACAGACGGCCTCTCGCACTATACACCACATCATAGGGGGAGACGGGACTAAATCCCTAGACACGCCAAACATAGCATCCCAATTTCGAGATTTTTATAAGCATCTCTATAGTCTAGCTCCTCCTAATCCCTCGGTGCCCTCCCAAGAGGCTCATCTACACGACATCCAGACTTTCCTAGCCCAACATAGCTCCCCTCCTCTGTCTGAAGGACAGGTAGTGGACTTTGAAACCCCGATAACATTACAAGAAGTGCTGACTGCCATCTCACAACTCAAATCTGGGAAAAGCCCTGGGCTGGATGGATTTACATCCCTATACTACAAAACCTTCCCTGAAACGTTAGCCCCACACTTTCTAGCGGCTTTTGATTCCTACTCAAACCAACCCCATGACTCCCCTCACCTCCTGGAAGCACATGTCACGGTCATACCGAAGCCTGGTAAAGATACCTCCCTGTGCGCTAACTACCGCCCTATCTTGTTGCTCAATCTGACAGATATACCCATCAGCTCTTGGCCCTGGTTACATCGAACCCATCTCCCGACCCAGGTTCTAAATCACCCAAGGGTAGGAGCTTTGCTGCATATCTTGGCCACCGTGAATACCAGAACTTCTCTCTCCTCTGTTCCAGATCCCCTTACATCGGTCCGCATGAACCCAACCTTTCCCCCCGGTCTTCACTTATCCTTTCTGCGCCAATGGTCACCCGATGCCTCCCCGAATGCTCACATGTTTTTTGATCCTCAGGGGGAATTCCGTACCCTCACAGACCTAAACACCAAAAACCCACCCTCATCCATTCCATTGTGGTCCTATCTACAAATTTGACATTTCCTTAACTCCAGCGCCACTAGAGGCCTCTTTTCCCGTTCCCGGAGCCCATTCGAGTAGCTTTGCATCTCTTCCCAGAGGGTGACCCATACAATATCAGAGGTGTACTCCATCCTGAATGACCCCTCTACTCTCACCCAGATGCCCTCCACAAAATTGTGGGAACAAGATTTGTCCATCACACTCTCCACACAGCAATGGGAACGCATGGACTCGTTGTTGCTGAAGGGTTCCCTAAACGTTCAAATTCAGGAGACCAACTACAAAATTTGTGCACGATGGTACAAAACCCCAGTCCTACTTCACCGTATCCATCTACCCAGACACCCCTGATACCTGCTGGCGCTGCAACCAAGAGTTAGGTACACTTTTCCATATTTGGTGGTCATGCCCACTGATCTCACCATTTTGGACAGAGGTTCACGCCATATTGCAAAATATCACGGGTGTCTCGCCTGAATTCTCCCCTGCATGTCTCCTATTGTTCCACTTTGATGACACTCTCCACATTTCAAAACATTCCCTACCAATTCATCTGCTCAATGCGGCAAATACAGTGATTCCTAGGCATTGGAAATCACCGAAGTGAGAGGAATGTAAATAGCTAAACTATATTTTCAGAGTTAGGTCTGGAAGCAAAAGATCTATTACTCCTAGACTCAACTTTTAATTGGAAATCCACTGGAAATCGCTAGAAACTGGTGTCCAGCAAGAGGTGTGAATACTGTATTATATTCCCTGTCTTGTTTCACCAAACAATACCTTTACATAATTTGAAACTACTACACTATATTTCCCTTCTCTTCCTTGGCTTTTCTGTCTTTTTACCCTCTCCACCTGCTGGAGTACCTCCCTTCTCCTAGCTAGACCAGAGAAGGCAATTGCATAACTAGTATGGTATCATAATTACAAGCACACCTAATTTACTATATACACTAATAAATGTCTACTGAACAGAGAAGAACATTGGTCTGATTAAGAAATAGTCATGTTGTTTTAAAGGCACAGATTCAGGCTCTGTATATGTGCAGACTTTATCATTTATGTTATCCTGGCTCACAGCAAGCATCACAAAGCAAGAAAGATCTGACTGTATCATGAGTAAACTTTGTATTTCCTGAACCAGAACTGCTTAGCTATGACACACACATAAAAGCAGAAGTGGCTAGAAACAATAAGTCCCAAGTTTTACCAGATGTACCTGACAATGAGAGGCATGTGAGCACCAAATACAGGGCCGTAGGAAGGGTGAGGCGAGTGAGGCACTTGCCTTGGGCACAGCTGCAAGGGGGTGCAGCCAGGGCAGGACCTGTTTTCAGTGAACACAGCACTGAAATGTCCTGTTTAGTAGTGCAATTATAAATATGGAGCTCCCTTCCCCCTCTGTGACCAGCAAACACCCCGCACTATCTGCCGTCCCTCGCTCGGTCCAATGATTATGGGCATTGCCCGCCAACCCGCCTCCACTGATATGCAGGACCCTCTCTGGTCCTTTAGCTTACAGGAAACAGCTGGAACTCAGCCAGGAGAGGCACTCACTGCTACCGTTGCCCTTCCACCACAGAGCTAACCACTCCACTCTCCTCACCATCCTTCTGTCTCCTAGCAACCGGCTGGGCATGATGTCATGGGCGGGGCAGTACCGACCGGGGGTGTGACTAAGGGGAGAGCGCTTACTGATGATGGGAGGCGTGGCTGTGGGCGGCACCTATACAGATTCCCATGTGTTCACATGCCATTTGTAATGTGATGTTGTCACATCGATGAGCCCCTGATCGATGAGCCCCCCCAAATAATTTTTGGCACATAAATTCTTGAAGTTCTACCTAAATGGGGGCTTGGCCATTGCCTAATAGCTTGTGCTGGACGGTGTCTCATTTTTTCATTTCAAAAAAAGTTGGGAGGTAAGTATCTGTACTGTATGGTTCCCTCTCCCACCTACCTGTGCTGTGTGGTCTACCAACATGTACTGCTTGGCCCCAACTTGTGTTAATGATCCCCCCCCCCCTTAGTTGCATGGTCCCCTCCTCACACGTACTGCATGGTTTCCCTCCCCATCCACGCCAACTGCCACATGGTACATCTGAAGATTCCACAACAATCTAAACCCGGAATAATTAAGGGGGAACCTACTGCTGGCAGTCAGGTCAGGGTAACAATCCTGTGGGTAAGGGGGGGCACAATTTTCTGTTCTTGCCTCAGGCACAAAAGGAGCTAGCTACGGCTCTGACCAAGTAAAATAATTTTATTCACAGAAATGGTTACACTTCTTTATAAAATAATGTGCTGCTGTCATGTGATCATATTTAACATAGATAATGCTGAGAGGAATTCCTCTTTTAATATCTTCTATGGTTTGCTTGTGCTGCAAATCATCACAAAATATCTGTAGCTTCATTAATAAGTTCAAGACATCCACTTACTATTATACAAGTCTTGTTTTAATTGCCAGCAAAAGCCCTAAAGCAACATTTTTAAACTAGGTCATACTCTCCCTAGAAAAAAGCAATACATTATTAAACATAATCCCACTTTTTTTCCCTAGATTTGGATAGAGTGAAAAAAAGGTCCACTGGTAGGTTTTTACTGCTCAAAGAAAAAAAAAAATAGCCAGCACTACTTAAAGAGGATCTGTACCCACATCTTTGAAATGACAACAAATACACCTTTAGAAATGCAGTACTGGTAATCTTTAACCAGATGCCATCCGCACATTGGGAAAACACGAGCGGACTACGGACTTTTCCCAGCAAACGTTTGCAAACGTTCGGCCAGATCTACAGCCGGCCGATTGCTTGTATGACACTAATGAGGCCCCCCTCCCCTGCCCCACCACTGCTGGTTATCCCAGGCTCCGCTGTCCCCCCTGTGGGACCGGCACATTGGCTGTTTCCAGTGACGAGTGAGGAGAGATCAGCATTTCCCTACTGCTGATCTCTCTTCTCTCTCTACAGGTGGAAGCAATGTCTATTACCTCACTTCCGCTTTTAGCTGTCATTTCTCTGGCTGCTATAGCCAGAGAAGAAGCTGGTGAAGCAGATCTCTGCTTCATCAGCTTCTTTGGGGGTCCCTGGGTGACATTGGTGGTCTTAAAGACCCCTGATGCCTCTATAAAGAGGACCTGTCATTGTATATTGGCTATCATATAGGGGGCTTGTTAGTCCCCTATGTGATAGCAATAAAGTTAAGTGTATAAAAAAAAGCTTACATTTTTTTGTCTCATATTAAAAATAAATACATTCCAAGTTATAAGTCATGCACGCACATATAAATGTAAATACGCGTCGGGTGTGCCTACGTGCTAAAACAACGATTACGCCCCCACGTTATATATTGCCACGAATGAGGGAGTGTGAGCAATAATTTTAGGGCCATTAATCACTGATAACACTAAACTGATGGGCAGTAAAAGCTTTGTCTATGGTCGATTTTAGGCATGATAGTTTTTTTGCGATTACGCAGACGCAATGTTTGGTGTCTTTTTACCCGACGTGACCCTGTATTTTACCAAAAAATTGGATAATAATAAATGTTTCATAACATAATGTACGGAAACTTTGTTTTTCAACATTTTTGGAACTTTTTACATCATACAGTAAAAAATAAACCCCCCAGTGGTGAGTAAATACCACCAAAGGAAAGTTCTATCTGTCCCCAAAAAAACAGTATAAAATGTATTTCAGTACAGCGTTGCATGACGGAATAAATGTCAGCCAAAGTACTGCAGTGCTGAATACTGAAAAATGGCCAGGACAAGAAGGGGGTTTAAAATCATTTACACATACTTTAATTTTTTTCTTAAAATGGTCCATTTTCTTAGTTTAAACATTTGATATGTTTTCTATTTTCTATTGTGAATAAAATCTGGGTTTATGAGTTTTGTACATTATTGCATTGTTTTCATGTAGATTTTACACAGCGTCCCAACTTTTTGGGAATAAGGGTTGTATCTCCCTTTACTTCCTAGAACATTGGCACATGTGACCATGCACATCATCTCAGGGAAGGAAAATGCCTTTTGCTGGGATCTCATAAGATTACAAATGAGATTTCCCAGCAATGCACTGCTGATGTAACCTTCCCAGGAGGCAACGCTTGGGCACATTAATTCACATATGCTCAAGAGGACCAGGAAGTGGAAAAACAATAATTGTAAGTAAAAGAAAAATATGTTTGTTTAACTATGAATGTAAAATTATTTCATATCAGCGTGCAGAGCTTAATGCTGAGGTGATTTGTAGTAAAAGGGGATAAACGCCTTGCACATATAGGCGATCGGCGGGCTATGGGCCCGCTGATCGCCTATATGTGTGACACCCGGTACCGGGTGTGTGCATTGTCGGGTCTTTTCTGCCCGTGCGTGCCCGCTAGGGGGCGCGCGCAAGCAGAAAAAAAATTGCCGTCTGGAGACGGCAACCCGCAGATGCAGCAGTGCCGTCCGTCCGTTTTTCTACTACGGGCGGACGGCAAGAGGTTCAACACTATGGCACTATGGGGTGTATTTATAAAAAAAAATTGTAGAGCCATTCTTCCTGCGAAGCTGCGTACACATTCATTCTGTGCAAACAGAGGCAAAAGCGAATATTCTAAGAATATTTTCTTTCCAAGTTGATTGTTATACCAATAATAAATACTCCTTTCCTATGCTCCTCAACTCCATCTTGTGGCCATAATGTGGCATTTCCTCTAAAAATATTTTATAAATACACCTCTATGTATTGTTGTTTAGGGAGTGCTGGCTATTTCTTTTTGAGATTTATACAGTGCCACTGCTGGCCGCTTACCAAACTGCACTGATTTTGGGTGATGGTGCAGGATGGATGTTAAATGTTAGGTTCTGACTGCTTTTTGCTGTACTTTCTCCTTATCGCTACCACAGAAACCACCAGTGCATTGTTGTAATCTGAAATTCAGTTTCCTCTCTCTGTAGTGCATTATCCATATATTCTTTTGAAAAATCTAGTAGAAAGGCATTGGTTACTGTCACCAGCCCTTAGTGCATTCCCCAAACGAATATATGGAAGATTCACACCTAAAAGAAAGGAGAGACAGGATGTCTGCCTCACAGAAAATACCTTTCTTGTCACCAGCAGACAGTAATAAAAACCTGACAGAGGGCGTAAACATTTTCCACTAGGAGAAGATGCGAAAAGGGTTTGGCCATTGACTAAAGAGACAGGGGTGAGCTGATCATGGACTGTGGAGGTGGCTCAGGTACAAATACTCATTTGTGCCTCCTGAGGGAGGAATGGCAGCACATACCCTTTTTTTCTGCTAGTAAAGTAAGGGTGCATCTGTTTTTAACATGACACAATTCTGTCAAGGGGTTGGAGCCAAATGGGTGGTGCTTAGTGGGAAGTGCAGGGGTTGGCTTTTACTAATGCAATGACATTTATTTTCTTATTCCTAATTATTTATATTCCAGGAACAGGGATTGCTTTTTGTTCTTGCTTTTGTATTGGTCAGCATTATATTTGTGGAAAAGATGGGTGTTATAACAAAGTACAAAATATTTTATCACTTTTATGTAGCACAGTTAAACTGAAATAGTAAAAATAGAAATACTGGAGCTGCTACTGCTGAGGTCTAGACAAATCATGCGGCCGGTTAAATTTGAGTCTGAATTCCTGTACTACATATTCCAGATATACTGTATTACTCACTAAGTAGTGAAGTCTGGATCAGGGCAACAAGTAAGAAACCGGCACCTTATGTGCACAGGTTTTATTTTGTGTCTGAGCTGCCCATCTTTCCTCACAGAATACAATATGAATGCAACAAAAACTCAAAGTAACTCTCTGCAATTCAGGGGTAACTTGAAGCAAGTCCTTAACAAATGAAAGATACATCAAAGCAACTCAAACACAAATAATCTTAGAAACACCAGAAAGCATACTGCATGTGACTGGCTTCTGTATCTGAAACAGTGTCGGTGCCTATGCAAAGCCTTAAAACAGATCAGCAAAGGCAACATCCATACTTCTATGCTCAGAGGTTCTGTTTAAAGGAGAACTATGAGATGAGTGATTTCCACTCACCTCATAGTTCTAGCCGACCTGTGACAATGATACTGTCACAGGTCGGCTCAGTAGATCGGGAGGTGAGCGAACACATACCAGGTTCGCTCACCTCTCGATCCTGTCACAGCTCTCTGCCGTGACAGGGGGAGGGCTGGATTCCCCTCTCCCCGCTCCGATCTGCCAGCGCTGACTGGCGGAACGGACGGGGGAGGGGGCGAGTACAGCTGGCTCTGCCTCTAGATAGGCAGAGCCAGCTGTCACTCACGCAGCTGGGCGGATCCCGTCATCTACGTCGGGATCCGCTCCGGCGTCTCAGTATACCGCGAGCTGTAGCTCGCGGTATACTGAGCTTAGGGTAACGGGAGGACGCTAGTTTGTGTCCTCCCGTTACCCTAAGGAGAACTATGGGGAAAAACACTGACCCCATAGTTCTCCTTTAAATTGTTCCTCCACTGGTCTACAACTGCTGTAACATAGCACAAACTATGAGTGCATACCTGAACTTCTCATTGGTATTCTCTGGTATGATAGTTTCCTCAGAGATCTTCTCCAGAGTGGGCATCCAACTGGTGGCCAGGTGGCAGTTTTGGAGGACCACCCAGGTCCCATCCTTAATGGCCTGATTAATCATCCTTTCTGCAATGGGCCCTTGACCCTGCCCAAGTGATATGGTCTGGATGTTTTCCCCTCCCATGCCAAGGTCTTCAGCAAATTTTAACAAGCCTAAGAGATGGAAAATATTGAAGTTTAAAGTAGAACTCCAGTTTTCTTAAATATGAATATAAAATATATAATTGCTACACTAGCCATTTTGAATTATAACAAAAAAAGAACAGGTTTGGGTTTACATACACTTTAATAATTGATAAGGTAGTTGCTGCCATGTTTTTACTATTAATGCATTACGCATTGTGTTGTTATTATTATTCCGTTAACTATAACTGTATTCAAATTATTTTTGAAAGCAGTATTAATTTTTAATATATTTATAAAAATACCTTTAACTCTATTGTCAGCAAAAGGTTCTCACCATCACATGGCTTTAATAACTCTTACAGTTTTCCGATATAAAATGTCTGGGAAAAGTTTGAATCTCTGCTATGTGGTCTCACAGTTGAATAGGGTTTAATACTACATGTCAGATATGCTTTGCTTTTCATTACAACCATGCAAAACCTCCTACCTAGCACTTATTTTTTAATCTCTCAGCAAGTGCACTGAAATGGCACTGTACATCCTAATACCTAAAGAACAGAAGTAGGTGAGGTGAAAATGTTTGATAAAATTTGGAATGCACAGTACTGCAAAAGTGTGGGGCACTTGTGAAAAAATGTTGTGAAGCAGGAATGCTTTCAAAAATGAAACTATTAATAGTTTTTGTTAATCAAAACATCCCAGAAAGTGCAGCAAACCGAAAATAACGTACGTTAAATCAATATTTGGCGTGACATCCCATTAAATACAGCAGCAATTCTATTAGGGAACACTTGCATGCAATTTATGAAGGTATTGAGTGGTATGTTGTTCCACCTCTCTTGGAGAACATGCCACAGTTCCACCGCAGACTTTAGCTTCCTTTACAAGCAGTCCCAGACTTTTACTGCAGATCGTTTTTGATTTTTCACTGTGTGTTTGGGGTTATTGTCATGCTTTACAATGAAGTTAGGATCAGACCAAATTTGATGGTATTTAATTATAGATAAAAATCTGTCTGTTTTTTCAGCATTGAGGGCAGTATTCATTTTTAGAGAAGTTGTTTTTTTGTTTAAAGTGGTATATTATGTATTTTAGGTCTGGTGGGGGATCTGGCACTCACGACATTTGAAAGGACCCTACTTGGCCTCCTTTTCTTCTGTGTTCGGAAGGCTATATGAGCTGGAAGAAATCGGATGCCCCATCACTTCTATTTTGGAGGCAGTTTATCAACTCCAATTAATCACAATATATCAGGATACATATCAAAATAGAGGGAGTGCAGCTAAATTCCTTAATGTATGGGCAGCGTGGTTGGATCTGTCCACAGCTACAGATGTCTCAAGATGAATGTCTTATATACTATGATGTCTTGCTTATGAGATTACCTACTATGTAATGCAGCACTGTTGTGGGTGTTTTGTTTCAACACTTGACTAATTTGTCCTGGAAAATGAATGACCCCTCCCCCTACCTCTTTTTTGGGGGACTTAGGGACACTAGTTTGAGCTTTGTCTTGGGTATGGTCTGGAAGCTTCTCTTCTATTTATCTGTGCCAACCCACCTGAGTGTTAGGACACACAAGCCAAACCCCTTCCTTTTTTCTGATTATAGCAGATTGTTGTACACTTGATTGATTGTAGATATTTTTGGACTTGATGAATAGGTTAGACTTGATGAACTTATGTGTTTATTCAACCTCAAATACTATGTTACTATGTTACTCCCTGCATGGTTTAGCCCTGTGTGCCTTGTTTTGTACACTGGCAAAAAAATATTAAAACGAATAAAAAGATTTATTAAAAAAATGTGGTATATTATTTTATGAGATTACTCTACTGGAATTCAGTTGTATTTTCTAAATATAATACAACTCACCCTACCAACTACATGTTAAATATGTCAGTTATAATACATGTCTTTACCCTTTCATGGCCAGGGGTTTTTGATGCATGAATTCCTGGAGCAAATTTAGCAGTGTTAGTATGCATTAGTTAACTTGACTATTTAAAGTATTTTTTTTAAGTATATACCTGTATATCTCTATAGTAGTTTCAGCCTGCCAGTTGCTCCTGTCACGTGATTCTCTCTGTGAGGAACAATGACAGCTAAGCTGTCAGGCTTGTTTGTAAACAAACCCATGTGATGATTACAGAACAGTTCCCGATCATAGGTTACGTAAAAGCCAGAGCTGTCAGTGACAGCATGGTCTCAGAACTAGGATGCCACACTGCTGCAACACTTTTCAATTTTAAAAAGTATAAAAAGCCCACACATTTTAAAAGATGTGAGTATGTCAGCCACTAACTGCAGTATGATACAATATTGATCATTGGCCTAGACATGTAACGATGCTTAATTTTTTACCTGCCATAGGATCAGCCCCAGGAGACAGCACAAAAACCAATGGAGCACAACAGTTAGAATCATTATAACTTCCTGCAAGGTCAAATGTTGGTGGCTCAATATAAGCTTTGCCCATGTTTTCCGCAATGAATTCCTGAACTGCTGGTACCATTTTGTCAGGGCGTAGACATCTGAGTATCACCATGCGATTTATTCCTGTCAATTCCTGCCATTTATCTGGAAATGTTTCTTCATGAGGTTTCAGGGAGTCATAGATCATCTTCCATCTTGGAATATTGTTTTTAAAATGATCCATAAAGCCAGTAAGTGGTTGAAGATTAGATGCTCGAACAATTTCTGCCCAAGATTTATCAGACAACCATTGGGGAGCTGGGTTTGGATAAGGGTTATCAAGTGCTACTCCACCAGTCAAGAGGAAGCGCCACACTTCATCATCTATTTTATCTTCTCCTTTCATTATGCCAATGGTCAGAAGAAGGGAGAACAGGAGCTTGTCCTTTTCAAACAAAGACCTGCAAACATTCTTATAAATGCTTCTAGTAAAATGCTGGATAATATTTGATATTCTGGTATTTAGGTCTTCACTCCTTTCGCTATGGGCAACTGAGTGGACATAAAGGTTAATGAACCAGGTAAGTGAATACTGGTACATTGGCTCAATGTTGGCCAAATCAGAAATGCAGAAAAATACAATGGATGAATGAGTGGCAACAGGTTTGTATCCCATTCGAGTCTCATCAATTTCCTTCTCAGTGGCAGAAGCAATTTGCTGTTTCTCTGAAATTTCTTCAGAAAGTAGTTTTGATGAGGACAACACTTTGATAGCAGTCTCATCTTCTAATATGTTTCCTTTTGAAGAAGACAGTACCTCTAATATTTTGTCTTCTATCTCCTTTAGCTGCTTTTTATTGGCTGCACTTTCAATAATTAGTTGATTCTTTTTTTCCTCTAGTTCTGGCTTTTCTTTTGCAGCTACAATTCCAAGAAGTTGGTCCTGAAGACCTAATGGGGTAATCATGAAGTTAAGAAGACACACCTTCACAGCCACCTCTGGGAGATAATGGGGGTTTCTTAATCGAGTAGTCATATAAAGCCTAAAATCTTTTGAATATTCTATAATATTTTCACCAAGACGTATATAGTCAACCCCTTGCTGTTTAAAAGTTTGTTTTAAAAGCAAAGGCTCCAAAACAGCATCTATTTCTTCTCCAATATTTTCAATTAAAACTGGATATCCAAACTGTATTGCATTCTCCAATGTTCTTGTGTATGTGGAATCAGACAACTTGATGACAGAGAGTTTATTGGTTTTCTCCATATTCTTTATCCACTTGTTAGCTTGTCCTTGAGGATCAATCATTAAAGCCCACCTTCGGGAATTGGAGACAATGATTCCATTGTCTATTGAAAAAAAATCAACTGGGAGACCAGCTATCTGCCAAGCACGGATTTTAACAGGGTCACCCAGGGTATTACTGAAGCTGAAGTTATTTGAGCAGGGTATTTTCTTCTCTTTGCACAATACATGCCATTGACTTTGACACTTTTGACGATAATCTACAGTGAAAGCACCTAGGTAGGCCACAGTTCCAGAAGATAGAAGGACATCTCCAGTAAGATTTATGTATTTATTTCCTAAGAGTCGCGCAGCTTCTGTCCACCTATCTTTCTCCCCCCCTAGGCCACTTATCAGTTTCTCAGCACGGACCAGTTTCTGAGAACAGATTTCAATATTCTTTTCCAGTTCTTCCTTTTTGTTATTCATGGCATTAAATTCATCATTTAATGCTTGCAGACGGTCTTCCACAGCCTGCAGTTCAGCTCGCTTGGTGTTTAGCTGTTCCATCTGTACAGCCAGCTTAGCCTCAGCTTCTTTAAGACGTACACGCTTAGGAGCCACCACTTTTGCCACGCGATCATATACCTCCAAAGCTCTGACCCACTTGCACAAGCCTTCACAGGCTGATGATACGTGCTTAATCACAGATGGCTGGAAGTCTTCATTATTGATAAATTTATCACGGATCTTTTTCATAACGGCAGGATCAATGTTGTCTTTATCAAACACTTTTAAAGTTTCCAAAAACTTCATGTCTCCAAGTATTTTTTTTGAGGGACCCCAGAAGTCTTCCACCATTTTTCCTAATGCAAACAGAAATATATAATGAAAAAATGTGGCATGCACATGATCAACACACCTGAGAAAACACCTCTAGTGGAAAATACATACAACACAAATAATATGTAAAATTAAGACAAACACTGCACAATTGAAGTCAGAAAATCCAGTTTTATTCAGGAAGGGTTCAATTAGTCGTAAAAGGTTGCAAACCCTTTGTCAACTATCGATGCAGGTATAAGTTGGGTGTTCCCATTGTAGGCATCTTTTGCAGCAAGTGAGCCTTGCTAAGCAAATAGATTTGCGCCTCTGCTACCAACACCTTCAAGAATAGTTTTGACCCAAATACAAAAATGTGATATATTGTAACTTAACAGTCCTTCAATATGGTGGCTGCATTCGTTGTTTGTTCTCTTCAAGTACAGAAAAATACCTTTTGAATTCTGGGCTGAAATCCCAACAAAATGTTTATCCTTTTTAGTTCTTTTCTGTGGACTACAGAACACCTCACTCCTATGTTTTGGGGATGAGGAGAGAGGTTTTAAGTCCAAATCAAGGTGACAACGCTGTTCCTCCACTATTGATACTGTATAGTGAGTGAGTGTTGTCACCCTAGGAAAGAATAAGGGTTACTGATAAGATCGAAATCACCAAAATTAAGAAAAAAAATACCATGAAAATAATAACATTAATACAACCACCTCATCTAAAGACTGGTAAGCTGTAATATATACAATATTTGTTCTAGGATTTAGATCTCATATAACCTGTCAGGTTTTCAATTAGCATACAAACCCCTCTCAAAAGAAGTGTGAGTTCAGCAATGACTTGCTGAGTTGTTACTGAATGTCAGCACCATAAAAACAAGATCTTCAGAATTTGGTTTGCAAATTTTAATGGACGTCCCTGAAAGTGTTATGTAATGGCCTACTGACAATACAATACATAAATAGAGAAGCTGTTTGTGTTTAGCACCCACTAAAACGCTTGATAAAATTGCATGAGAATTTCAGGAGTTGCAACCAGATTTTTTTTAGGTGCATGAGAGACACTTATTCAATATGATTATCCATAACAAGTATTTTCTCTCTTTAGTTATAACCTTCCATGAAGAAATATCAATGATAGAAATGAGAATAAGTTTCAGTATGTAGCATACACATTGGTCTTCTCACCTGTTCCACCTGGGTCAGGCTTTCTGTCTGGCTTTATGGCTTTCATTACACAGATGCTTTCCATGACCAGCTTCACAGGTGCTGGAGGATTCTGCATGGATTTCACAAGTGATATATCAGAAGGGTTCAGTGTGTCAAGAGCCGATATTGCAGCTTTCAGAGCTGGCATGGCCTCAGCTAAGTCTCCTTCACATTCATCCTGCAAAGGCAAAAGGTCACAACAAATGTGTCATATGCACCTAAAATACATTGTTATTCTAAAACACAGAGAGAAAAGAACAAACAGGAATATTTAAAAGATGGGGAACAAAAGGTAGACATTTATAACAACCAGTTTACTGTAGTCAGAACAGATTTATTATGCTTTTTTTTAATAGTGGATGTAGGATCATGCATCTTCCAATTAGAAGATCAGTGATCAGAATTTACATTGCTATACTCAGGCCAATACAAGATGAATTCCAATGGGCTGTTTAGTATTACTGTACTTTGAGGTAGTGCCCTGAAAATGTACAGAAAGTCAAGACAGAGTAAAGATCTGCATACCTTTTCTGGGCCAATTACTCAAATTATGGAACTCAGCATAACAGCGGGAAAAAAAATAATAATTAGTACAGGTTTCTTTTGACAATTAGCATTCTTTATTTATTGAATAAGGTGGATTAAGTGCTCTTTATGCAGTGTGACAGGCAGTCAAAGGTGATCAAAGGCATAGTCCAGGATGGAGCCATTTAGAATCTTGCATTTTGGTCGGTAGACAGGTTGGCTCTCTGCGGCCTGGCTGTTGTGCAGCAGTCAGGAGATTAATAGTTGGACACACCCGGCAACACCTGATTAATAAAATGAAGTGCTATATGTACCTTGTATAAGGGGAACCAATATATGTTTCTATATCACTGGTAATATACTACAGAGATCCTTCACTCAATCAATCCAGCGATTCCACTTACGTGCTGGAGATACAATAGCCATACTGGTAGTTTATAACACATCTTCTGGGACTGCCCCAAAATATGTATTTTCTGGCAACAGGCTAAATTCCTGCTTGATTCCTTGTTGGATCTATTAGTCCCCCTGGTCTACTTGATTAGGCACTCTACCAAATTATCTAACCATGTCTGGAGTGCTGCAATGCCTAATAGCGCTGAAATGGCAACAATCTACACCTCCATCTAACACGAGCACTATATACTTATCCACGATATTTATAACATGGAATACCTTACAGCAAGACTACACAACTCTTTGACCACATTTGAAAATACCTAGTCCCCAGGGAAACTCATGACTCTGGCCACCCATGACCACTGAGATCCTCTACTTTTGACACACGGTACTCCACTTTTTATCCCAGTTTCCTGCTACCTCCTGACAGGAAGTCTACAATGTCCGACGGGAGAGGGGATGTGGATTTTTCTTCATTTTCCCCCTTCCTAGCCCCCTCTTTTTTTCCCTTTCTCTTTGTGTCACACCCTTCCTACCTCCCCTTTTTTTTGTGTCACACCTTTCCTACCCC